AGGTAGACAAGCAGTACATAAGTGAAAGCAAACAGGCACTCCTGAAAGGCCACCAATACATTCCTCCCCATCAGATTTCCAGAGAAGGAATGATCCTGAATCCCTTCCCAAAGGGCTTCACCCTCAGCCAGGTCATGGTTCTCTGCGTACATAAGAACATAAGAGAAGCCAATGTTGGATCAGGCCAAAGGCCCATCCAGTCCAACACTCTTGTCACACAGTGGCCAAAAATACCAGGTGCCATCAGGAGGTCCACCAGTGGGGCCAGGACACTGGCCCTCCCACTGTTGACCCCACCCCCCAAGCACCAAGAATACAGAGCATCACTTGCCCCAGACTGAGAGTTCCTGTCTATACCTTGTGGCTAATAGCCACTGATGGACCTCTGCTCCATATGCTTATCTAATTCCCTCTTGAAGCTGTCCATGCTTGTAGCCACCACCACCTCCTGTGGCAGTGGATTCCATGTGTTAATCACTCTTTGGGTGAAGAAGTACTTCCTTTTATCTGTTCTAACCCGACCGCTCAGCAATTTCATTGAGTGCCCACGAGTTCTTGTACCTCTGTCTCTGCAATAAGCTATAAATTGCAACAGAGTCCTGCAGTCCTATCCTCTGACATGTGACGTGTATTGCAGTCTTATCCTCTGACATGTATGTTGCTTCCACATGGAGCTCTTGCTCCATTTTGGGGAGGGGGAAGCTTCTACATCATTGTGCAGAATGCCCATCTTCCAGGTTTTCCCCAGCTTTGCTGGAAGGTTCCCAAATCTGCTTCGGTACCATCTTTCAAAAACAAAAAAGAAGTGGGCGTGGGGACCATCATGTGGACAGGAAGATACAGATTTCTTAAAATAATACTGGTATATCGCTATAGCAACACCTCTCCAACTGATTAAAAAAAACAACAAGTATAAATGCCAGTGGTTGTGGTGCGGGAAATGGTGGGTGGGAAGGAGAAGCAAGAAAAAATTCCCATGGCAAGAAAAAATTCCCATGGGAAGGCTGTGCTGCTGCTATGTTGTGGTGATAAAAGCAAAATGGGAGGTGGGCCCCAGGCAGAAGCATCCATAGTAAAGGTAAAGGTAAAGATTTCCCTTGCTCAAAAGCCAGTTGAATCCGATTCTAGGGATGCGGTGCTCATCTCCGTTTCCAAGCCAAAGAACCAGCACTGTCCGAAGATGTTTCCGTGGTCATGTGGCCGGCATGACTAGCTACCAAGGCACACGGAACACTCTTACCTTCCCACCGAAGCGGTACCTATATATCTACTTGCAATTTCTTGCTAGGTTGGTAGGAGCTGGGACAGGAGACGGGAGCTCACTCTGTCACGCAGCACTCAGGTCTCAAACTGCGGAACTACTGACCTTCCAGTCTGTAGTTCAGCGTCTTAACCACTTGAGCCACCGCAGCCCTTAGAAGCATCCATACTTTAGTCTTAAAAAGCAAACAGGATGCCACAAGTAGGGTTGCCATCTCTGGGTTGGGAAATTCCTGGAGATTTGGGGGCAGAGCCTAGGGAAGGGAGAGTTTGGGGAGGGGAGGGGCCTCAGCACTGATGCGATGCCGTAGAGCCCCCCCCCCGAACTTCCTCCAAGGGAACTGATCAGGAGATCAGTTGTAATCCGTGGAGAATTCCAGCCCCTTGTGGAGGTTGGCGTCTGGTTAGTGCTAGCGGTGTTGCAGTTAAGTAACATAAGACCCTGGACTTAATGTCTTGGGGGCGGGGGTCTTAGATATAATCTATATTCGTTCAAATAGGATGCATTAATTTGGTCACCTCTCTCCCCACCATTTCCACAGATAAACACATGAGGTGTAACCTGATCCTCTGTTTATTCATTCAGAAGTCAGTCCCACTGGGTTGTGCAGCGCAGGGTTTTCCGAAAAGTAAATGTGTGTCTAGGTTTGCAAACAACCAAGACTCCTCAAACAAAAAAAGGTGAAGGGAGGAGAGACCAGAGAGGAGCGAAACACACCAAGCGAGCCAGAAAGGCAGCTCCCTCCTGTGCCCCTTCGGCACTTTGAAGCCCACTTGGAAAAATACCCCTGCAAAAAGAGGGGTTATCTGGTGATTTCAATTAGAAAAATAATAGAAGGGTAGAACTGGGGAGAAAAGCTCTTCTTCTGCATTGCAACTTGAATCCCCCCCACCCCCAAACACCAGGGCGGCATTTTAATGCTGAACCTAATGTATTCTGGCCCTCTGCAAAACTCCCTGGTTGCTGTTCCTGACTCCTCCATCTTCTAAGCCACACAACTGGCATTTCCCACATACGATCTCACACCTTTCCCTCAAATGTCTGCAGTGCCCATTCAGGAGACCAGCCCCATGACCAGTGTTCCCTCTAAGCTGAGTTAGTGTGAGCTAGCTCACAGTCTTTTAGCCTCCGGCTCACCCATTTTTGTCTTAGCTCAGGAAGGATGCCTCCAGAGCAGACTAATTTATGCAGTAGCCAAATTGCTCGCTCACAACTTTAATGCCAGTAGCTCACAAAGTAGAATTTTTGCTCACAAGACTCCACAGCTTAGAGGGATTGTTGCCCATGACTCTCTTGGGGTCATGTTTCCAGCTCCTGTCCACAGTGACTCCCAACAGGTGCCCAGATCCCCCCTGGCCACTGGAGGGGGATGGGGAGGGGAGGGCTGCCCAATCCAGGTTGGGAAACTCCTGGAGATTTGGAGATGGCGCTTGGGGAGGAGAGGGACCTCAGCGGGATGCGGTGCCTTGGGGTCCACCCTCCAGAGCATCCATTTTCTCCAGGGGAATAGATCTCTGTAGACTGGAGATGAGCTGTAGAAAAGAGCAAGTGTCCGGTGGCACCTTAAAGTCTAACAACATTTGTGGCAGGGGGTGAGCTTTCATGAGTCCCTGCTCACTTCTTCAGACGAGCTGTCATCCCAGGGGATCTCCAGCTGCCACCTGGAGGCTGGCAACCATGCCCAAGTCACAGCCCCGTTCACAGTAGTTGGGCAGCAAATGCACAGTAACGCGCTTTTTTTCCTGAGCGATGCAATAGTAAATGTTCAGTAACTGCCTATTAATATTATATGGGTCTCTTTCACCATCTATCCTTATTATATTTGATGTAAGCGTGATCATTTCTTATGCAGTTCCACACCCTCGAATTAAATGGCAAATGCTGAGCCTTGTGTTTTTCTGAGAACCTGGAGAGGAACAACCTGCAGCCAGCCAGCCAATTTGCCATAGTTTTGACTCCTGTTGGCTGTGCTGGTAGCTGAACCATGGGACTTACTTATTTACATTTCTTTAACAATGTACACGCCTGCCTTTCACCCAACAAGTTGAGGCCGGAAGACGGAAATTAAGAAAAACAATTGAGACAATTTCAAAATAATCAGGAACTGCAAAGGCTGCTTCTGTGTGGTGGTTTTGCTCCGGTGTCACCCTCATCGCCAGTGTTAAATACTGGGTTCCATGGATGGTTTGACCCCTAAGCCTAGTGATCAGCTCAGCTTTATTAGTGATTCAGCAAGAACAAGACAAAGACCCAAGGCAATGGCCCTGTTTAAATAGCATGCACTTCCCAAACAACTACCAATGATAGGCTATTGTCAGAACCATTAATTCCTCATTTTCCACCTCCAGAGTCCTGGGGGGCTATTGTTCTAGAGCTCTAAGCTCAGCCAGTCTCTGGTACAAAAATGTTCCAATACATAACATCCAGTTTCATGTTTAAACTGGTGTTGGTTTTTTTTGGCAGGGGTATCTACATAGCATTGTCCCCGATTGTCATTTTCTGGGCTTTTTCCTGTTTTGCTGTGATATTTCCCAAACTTGGTTTGTTGCAAACTTTTGGAAAGGTCGCAGTCAAATTCTAGGCAGCCACGATTGCGTCTGCGAGCTCACACCCAGCCCAATTATTTAGAACAAGTCGGTCCTTGACTGCTCTGCCACAAGGAATTGAGGCTGCTTCTGTGTGGTGGTTTTGCTCCGGTGTCACCCTCATCGCCAGTGTTAAATACTGGGTTCCATGGATGGTTTGACCCCTAAGCCTAGTGATCAGCTTAGCTTTATTAGTGATTCAGCAAGAACAAGACAAAGACCCAGGGCAATGGCCCTGTTTAAATAGCATGCACTTCCCAAACAACTACCAATGATAGGCTATTGTCAGAACCATTAATTCCTCATTTTCCACCTCCAGAGTCCTGGGGGGCTATTGTTCTAGAGCTCTAAGCTCAGCCAGTCTCTGGTACAAAAATGTTCCAATACATAACATCCAGTTTCATGTTTAAACTGGTGTTGGTTTTTTTTGGCAGGGGTATCTACATAGCATTGTCCCCGATTGTCATTTTCTGGGCTTTTTCCTGTTTTGCTGTGATATTTCCCAAACTTGGTTTGTTGCAAACTTGTCATTTTCTGGGCTTTTTCCTGTTTTGCTGTGATATTTCCCAAACTTGGTTTGTTGCAAACTTTTGGAAAGGTCGCAGTCAAATTCTAGGCAGCCACGATTGCGTCTGCGAGCTCACACCCAGCCCAATTATTTAGAACAAGTCGGTCCTTGACTGCTCTGCCACAAGGAATTGGATATAGGCTGTGAGGCTTTTGCGAGCTACTTTGCAGATAAAGTCTTGTCACTCTGCCATGACCTCCCCACCACATTTGAGACAGAGAGCAAACTCAAGGCTCCATGCATGTCTTCAAGTCAGATTATGGATCATTTTAGCCCACTCAGCCTAGAGGAAGTCGACAAACTGCTCCTAGCTGTATGCCCAACCACATGCTGTCTTGACCCATGCCCATCATGGCTAATTAAAACTGGCCGAGATGTGTTTTGAGGCACCCTAAGCGAGATCATCAACGAGTCCCTCATTGAGGGACTGTTCCCTAGGTCACTTAAAGAAGCAGTGATCCACCCTCTCTGGAAAGAAAACATTACTGGCCGGTCTCCAATTTACCCTCTCTAGAGCTGTGGCAATTCAGCTACAGGGCCTTTTGGATGACGCTTCCATTTTAGATCCCTTCCAGTCCGGTTTTCGCCTGGGCCATGGGACGGAGACAGCAGTGGTCACCCTCACAGATGATCTCCAGAGGCATCTGGATTGGAGTGGATCGTCAGTGGTGTTTCTGTTGGGCCTGTCAGCAGCATTCAATACGGTCAACCATCAGTTACTGATCGACCACCTTGCCGACACGGAAGTTCAGGGGTCTGCCTTACAATGGCTTGCCTCCTTTCTCCGAGGTCGGGGACAAAAGGTGGCTCCCACTGAATTGTGAAGTGCCTCAAGGGGCAGTGTGGCAGCTAGTGCAAAATGCAGTGGCTGGGCTTTTGATGAGTCTCCCGATGCGGGAGTACATCCAGCCTGTGCTAAAAGCATTACACTGGCTTCCAATAGCACTCCAAGTTCACTTCAAGGTGCTGGTTCTTAGCTTTAAAGCCCTCTATGGTCAGGGGCTGACATACCTGAGGGACTGCTTTTCCCCATATGTACCCCAGCAAGCACTGTGTTTAGGGTCACAAAATCGATTGACCCTCCTGGGCCCCAAAGATGTCAGACTGGCAACAACCAGGGCCAGGGCCTTCTCGGTGGT